GTCCGCTATTGTTCAGGGTCCCCAATTGAATGCAGAAACAAACTCATGTACACTCAATATTTTACCCATTTTGTGGGCACCAAAAGGTTACTCAGAAATGTCCCCACAACTTGGTTCAAATTTCCCTAACAAAAGAACTTGTCCCCTGAACAAGGTCAATGCCTACCCACCCCTTCTCACACTACATACCTTGTACGGACATTCCCATGTTTTGCGCAGTTCAGAAAACTTGGTAAAATACTCATTTTTCTTGAACTGGGAACACGATTTTCAGCTGGATTTTGTGAAAAGTTCCTTGACTTTTCCTCTTCTTTTTACGATGATGACCCTTATCCCAAAATGCTTCCAAACTTCTATTTCAGAGAATGGGAAAAGTCCTGCGGACATGGATGAATCCGCAGACTGTCTTCCCTTCCTGCATCGTGTGGACATTGTTTGTTCACAAATCCATACTGGGTATGTAAGGTTAGCGCACCCATGGAAGGAACAGGTGGACAAAGTATGTCCTTTAACTTCATGGGCAAGGCATAAAAATGGCCTCTCTATGACAAGCACTGATGGTGCACTGCATTGTCAATTGCCCAAACTCAAACACAACCACCCCTCTTTCTTAATGAGCCCTTCACTGCTGGGTACAGAGGTGTAATCCATGACAAGTGTCTAGCTCAAGGACACAAGCACAGGTACTTATTTGGATGTGTACACCAAACCACAAGGCATGACTTACAATTGCCAGTAATGGAATGGACTAGGAAAGGATATATTGTCTTTGTCAACCTCCACATCTTGGCATGAGTGAAAGTAGTCACTCCATGGTAGTTGTGAAAAATCCCGCTTTCTGGGGTGTCCCAGTCTCAGAGACAAACTCCTTAGGATAAGATGATCAATTTAACAAAAAACTGTGACTTACTAGAATAATTATGAGAATATGTTGACACTTACAATTCACAAGAATGACATGACAAACTGTCACAAATTGGTGTCAAATGATGATGGGACATCAAAAATGTCCTGAGTGTGAAGCATGTTTTAAAAAATGCACTGCAAAGACATCAGAGAATTATACACTGAGTTTTGACCCCACCTCTTTTATGGGCATCAAAATCAAAGTACTTTGAAAAATTATCTTCTTGTAAAAGACCATAAAAAAAACCTCTTTCATTTAGGAAGTTTGGAATTTTTGATTCTGTGCCAAGCCCTTTTTAAGGCTGGCACTATCCCTCCAATTGTCTCCAAACCAATCTAGATGATTGGAAGACACAGTTCAACCATTGGTACTTAGCATGGGATTAGATGCCACTTGCAAATATTAGAACAAAGACAAAGACACCACAACTGGATTTCGGCTGGGCTCTAGTCCAGGATTCATGAAGGATGCTGGCACAAATGCCCACAGAGTTAACAACAGAAAATCCCTGACAACATTTAATTTATCAATTCTGGAATCAAAAACAAATTTCAAAAATAACTTCAATTAAAACAGAAGTCTGAGAGGTTCTTACCTTGACCCTGAGGAAGGCCCTTTGGGTGGCATCGGAGGGAGTTTGCTAGATATACCTTTCATCTGAGCTTTTCTCTGTAATTCAGACATTACTCCAAGAACTGCAAAGCGACCAAATTACGTTTCTTGAAAGGCATCACACCTGCAAAATCCCAAGCCTGACTGGGGCACTCTATACATATAATAGTAAATTTCCACGCTTGTTTTTTGGGGAGGGGGAGAGATTCTTCTGATAGAAATTAGTGTTACAAAACTGTCACCTGATGGACCCTTAATGTTTACAACCAATGTACATGTATAAATGGCATTACGATTTATTTAAATGCGCCAAAATGTTGTTTCAGAATTAAGGATTGCTGTCTTTTAAAGTGAACCTAATATTATCAAGAAAAATGGTAAATGTTAACTATATACGGAAGGAAACTAGAATTGTACCTGTTTAAACTTCTCTCAACAGTTTGTCACAAAATGACTAAAAAAATGTATTGTGGTCAAAAATTGTTGAAAGCAATATCCATACTTTCTCTTCTGACTTAAGTATCCTTAGAACTATGGGGTTCGTTGTTGAGGCAAAATGACAAAGTCCATTGACAATGTAGCTGTGCACCAACAACAGCTTGCCTTTGAGAGGCCATTTTTCAAGTTTATTGTTGACAAAAAAACATTAATTTATGGTTATTTTTGTCAAGTTTTTAAATTTTTGAAGAATGGAAACTGCATTCTGCCATCTAAAAAAACAACTTCCTAATTAAAACCGATACTACAAATACATTTATTAATCAAACAACCATCAGGAATAACTCAAGTTCTTTGCATGATGCCAACAAAGAAAACTTGTTGACCATTTCCCACTATGCACTGCTTCTCAATGTCAACCTCTTGGCGGTGCACTGTATCGTAAATTGCCTATGTTTTAGGAACATTTTGACTATACAATAGACATTGGACTTGTAAACAAATCTCTAAGAAAGGCCTGGCTACACTAGAATGAATTATTATTGAAGTAAGTGATCCTACAACAGCAAAAATGTGGAACTGTTGCACCTTCTGTATTTTGAAAGAAAAAAAGCATGTACTTTTTATAGTTGTTAGCAATATTACAAACATGACAAATAAGGCAGAGGGCCACCTGATCTTGTATATAATGGATACCCCACCACTTAAAAAAAAATCTGAAATAACTAGCTACATGGTAGGAGTCCCTGTTAGAAAAAAAAAATCAAGTCAAAACTACATAAAATGAGTGGGAAACTTTTTGAGAATGAAGTAACACAAATGAATAGGGATCGTTAAAAACTGTGAAGTCCAAACCAACTACCCGGTTGGCAGTTACAACATGGTGCAGTTATGAGGTGCACTGTGAATGTTTAATGAGGGCAATCAAGTGTGACATTTTGAACCTTTTAGCTTGATAGGAGGTGACTCTTGCGAATGGTGGGGTATTCTACAATTGTGCCAAAATAACATCAGTCATTCAAGTAGCACTGTATTCAAGGTGTATGATGCAATCAAAGTTGTCTGAAGAATGTGAGATTGGTGAAAAAAATCTCATTAAAAAACAAAAACAAATACAGTCCGTCTCATGGTCTACGAACTACTGTACAGAAAGTTTCTGGAAATACAGCTGAGTAGGCCTACATGTACCTCATGACAGCCCTCATGAGAAATTTTGGGAAAGTGGAATTTGTATCGTGAGAAATTTACCTGACAAGTGATTCACCTCAGAGGCTGACTCAAAAAACAAAACAAAAACACAGATTGCATTAGGACCCTATGTACAGTAAAATGGCCAAAAGGCACATGGGGGGTGCAATCTTCATTTGGTTATGGACAAGAATCCCATGTACGGATGCCCTTAAGGTTCCCCTATAGTTAGTTATCAGCCATTTGAAAGCATTAGAATGACCTAAAAGTCAAATTCAACATGGAAAATATTGCGATATTCACATAGAAAATACTTCAAATTTTTCAGACCAGTTTCAAACGATTTGCGCACAGGGTCAAGGGGCATATGTATGAAAGCCTTACACTGCATAGCTGATTTTGCACAATGGTAGAAAAGCATTGTGGGATTTGTGAGACGGAAAGAGGGACGCTATTTGCTCCCTTTTCCTTCCCAAAATGCCTTTCTAGCACTGTGAAAAATCACCCATGCAGTATTTTGGAATTCTTTCCTGATCATACTGGTTTCCAGAAGTATTTTAGCAGTGCCAGTGCATTCTCGCCGTCAGACATCTAGGAACTTCTACCCATGTGAAAAACTGAAATGTAAAATCCTCCATTCTATTAAAGAGACAGGCATACCCCCAGAACAGTAGGGTACACAAACGCACACCAAGACCTGAACTACACGTACATGGAAGACAACATTCAACAGATTTACGAGGAGAAAGATGAATGCGCGAAAATTTGCAGGACCTATGTGCAGTTGATGTGTTCATTTAGAGAAGGCCTACTCCAAGATTATTAGAGTGTAAAACAAATTTACCACTGATCTTTAGGAACTAGGCCTAGCCACGCTTGCTAGCCTACTTGGCGTGCAGTCGACTCAATCTGCGAGAGGACGAACAGACTACATGGAGCTTTAGAGCTTTGCTTTAGAGTAAAATTAACTTGTGTTTTAATTATAGCGCCCTCATGTCAAACCGACCGGCTGAACCAACTATCGTGCAGGCGGGCGAACCCGTACCCGAGTACGTACGTCGAAATGTCCAGTCGCAGGACATGGCATTGAGTTTGTGTGTAACGTAAGTCAGTTGAGTTAGCTCTTGCAGTTAGCTGGATCAGGGACAGAACTTTCATAAAGATTTTAAAAAGTTCCCTTGTAATACAATAGGGTTCTTCCGTAGATTGCGCTTGTTTAGGCACTTCACCATGTTCACCGACAATGACTGACCTTGTCTTGGTGTTGTCATCTCAATTTGTCACTGTTAATATAATATGCATGATCAAGAATTACTTCTAGAACTGCAGTGTAAGGTTTATTACGAACCTTCTAGATAGCCATGTACAAACTGAACGCCCAATCCCATGAGTTTTGATTGTGCCGACTTACCCTTCCATCATAACGATCATGGCTATTTTTGCAACCTAGGCCTACAAAATGCCTTCTAATCTTGGTGAAGTTAGATAGGGAGGTTTATTCACCTCAGGCCTAGGCCTAATATCTTCATAAAATTGTGAAATTGTTGAGAATTTTGCCCATCCACACTACAGTCAGCAGCACCATGTACATGTACTCTCAGTTGTCAGCTGTGATGTGGGAGCTTGACCAATCGTAGACCCACTAGTGTGGCATGGACTCTTGCTACCACTCCATGGGGATGGAGCGGTACCGAGAGTCCGTGCCACACTAGTGGGACAGGGACGAGGGTGTTAAATGTCATGAACACCGTTATTCAAGTGTATTTGTGCAAAAATTGTTTAGGCTCCTACATACATGTAGGCATATCATATCCAGACAGTCGTGACAGTGTATCCCATTTATTTAGAATGATATTTGAGTGTGGAAGATGAGTGACAATAAGCCTCAATTCAGCATGCGCTTGGGTGATTTTGCATAATGTTACAAAGGCATTGTGGGAAGGAAAAAGGGACAGTGTTTACCCCATTTTTCTTCCTCCCACTTTACCCATAATGCTTTCTACCATGAGCCATTGTACCCATGTATGCAGAGCATTAAGCCTAATGTGGGGCCTGCTCACACAGCCTAACTCGTTTCCATCTTTTTTTTGCATGGAAAGGAAAAGAAAGATTCATAGCGGCCCCCAAATGTTGCAAACACTTTTCGTTTTCCTTCAAGAATCTGGAAGCAAATCTGCTGTTTCTCTTGTGCAGTGGCAAATGTTTGAGTTTCTAAAATATGATCAGTCAGCTTTTAAATCTTTTGAGGATATTTTCAAGTTTTTGATGCTACTTGTGTGATGACGCTAAATAGCACAACTGCGTTAACTTAGTTCCTGTATTATCATGATAACTCTGTTCAGCACAGTCTTTGAAAGTGCAGAATTTGCCGTCGTAATTTTTATTGGGCTGCTTATACTGAAATCTGTTCTTATACTCATACTGATAACTTTGAGCGCAATCTTCCAACATGCACAACTGCTGTGCCTCAAACTATGCGATTTTTAAATGGAGTCATGATGGTTAGTGTTTGACTCGATGGGGCAAAGATTCCCATTCCCTACAAAGTCTCCAGCTGTCTCCTAATTGGGATGGGCACCAATCAAGCTGAGAAACTGCTGCCTTGAGTAAAGGTTAGAATTCCAGTACAAACGAGTAGTTTTAGGGGTCATTTCAAAATCCCTATCCTTTATCCTGACTTCATGGGATAATTGTCTTTTATGCAGCCAATAGGAAACGCAGTTACTGGTATTTAGAAATTATGCAACCAATAGGAAACACAGCAACTGGTATTTAG